GCGTCACTTTGCAGTTTCTTTGGAAGAGTTCCATCCTTACACAAATGCGGTGCTATAAGGCTTCAATGAGCTTTTATTTGGCACCAATTTTGAATCCAAATTTTGCTTGCAGCAGGTGGTTCACAGAAGAGAGTGGCTTTTCTGCTCTTCGCAGTACGAAACTTTTTGCTGCGGGAATACCAGCTTTACCTCTGATCAGAGTTAAACTTAAACTTCTCTCTGCGAAAGAGGAAAAGTCACTTCTTGTCCTGGCGAGCCACACTATTGCTTGGAAGGCGTGAAAATGTCCTGTAAGATTGCACAGGCTCACAAACTTCAAGACGAATAACGATCAAGCTTTTGTACAACGCCAAATTTGTTATTTGATATGCTCATTCTGTTTCATCAACAGCTAATACTTGGATTACTGTGAAAAATTTTACATATTAAATTTACAATAGAACCAAGTTTCAGATAAAAAATGACTAGTCTGTATCCCGGCCACGTTCCACTTTCGTTGGTTTCCCGAATGCTACTCGGTGTAGGGTCGGCAGCAATGGCGATTACCGACCCCCGCCGAGGTGACATGGTAGCCGCCATGGGAGAAGCAACAGCGCTCGAAAGTGTTCTTGAGAATATTCGGTAGTTAATTATATCTTATTTGGAAGTTGATCGTAGCCTATAGCTTGTTCAATTGGCAGTTATATTTTGTTGCAGCCAACGAATGGAAAGTGACGTAGTGGGCGCACGTCTCCTCAAAGAGCGCCCAAGGGTCAACAATCAAACAGTGAATCGTGAATACCTTGAATCGCTACCGGATAACACATTTGGAAAGCGATATGCCAAGTAAGGTCATGTCATTGGTTAGATTGATTGATTTGAAATCAACCAGATCTTGCGTTGCGAAAGCTTCACCGATTCACGTTGTTATTGTCATCTGCTGCTTTTTTCCCTTCATTGCATTTCTCTGGCTCTCAAGAAAATGTCTTTTGAAGTTAAGTGGCTGCTTTTTGACACATTCCCTGATCCGTAGGCGCTATTCTTCTGCTGAAACATTAGCGTTTTCTTCGCTGCAGTGCTCAACATTCTTGGGACCGTATCCTGTCCTTCCCCCAAGGGACGCGTCCCTCGCCAGCTGTTTCTATCCTAATGCTGGTGGAGACATGGATGCGCCATAAGACCGCCATTGAACGCTTTATGTTGTAGTTACTCCCCTGTTTCGGCGCTCTTTTCTCTGAAGACCTGCACTGTCTGGTGTGGAAACGCACACTATGGCTCCCGCAATCCTGTGTTCCCCCAACCACAGAATAGGATGCACGCGTGGGTGAACTTATATTTTACCAGTTTAGCGCCGCACGCTACCGCGCGCATTCAAACGGAAGGTCGGGATGAGACAGGACAGCCGACGAAGCGCTAGATTCACCGCTAACATAAGCTCTTTATCTTAGCAGAAGCTCACCGTTTGATACGCGCAGTGGAGTGCGGAGCTAAAGTGGTGTCTGTAAACAACCACCATGCATCGAATGCCAGTGTAATTTAGCGGTCGGATTGTGTGTGATGTTAAAACATAATTATCCAGCACTCGTTATCGTATTTTTGAACTTACACCATACATTTTTAAGAACTCTGGGGGGCATAGCGGTTTAGTGGAATTTCGGGCTGATGATAACAACGCAAATGAAAGAATATTGAAATGAAATGCTTTATCTAAAGTCTGGTTTTGAGTGACCTCTATATTCTTGCGCATATCGTTATTATCGGCCCTTATCAGCCGTTATCCCTTTCTTTTTTCCACCATATATGTTCCCGTCATACCCCCCACAACACTTCTTCGAACCAACGCCTCACTGATGCTGGGACGCGCGCTATGGATATCGCGGAATTGGCGTTCTGGCGCCTCTTATCGGGATCTTATCAGTCGTTATCACTTTGCGTCCCCCACCAAATATGTTCCCGTCCCATCCCCTACAACATACTCAAAATAACAAGCAGCTCCGTGTTGCACCCGAAGGCGACTATGACGTGACAGACACAGGGGCGCCACACTACCCACACAAACGCTACCCACACACACAGGACAGACATAGCTTAGCGAATTCCACAGTACCGTCCAGTGAAGTATTCGTTTTCACTTTTTTAAACGTAATTTCCTCAAAACTCAAGCTTTCGCAGTAAAACTTCGACAGCAGTTGACACACACAGGTAGTCATATTATAGCAGCGTATCGGTGCGATAGCCTCCTTTCAAGGGGAAATGGAGCTTCATTTTCGAGTATTGTCCGCGGGCACCAACCAATTTCATTGTTGATAAACGATGAGTTTTCCATGTTGAGAGCACGCGTGTT